AGAGGGGGATCCCCGGCCCCGCAGCCCCGCGCTCCTCCCGTACGCGGCGACGGCGTTCCCCGCCCTCCCTCTCCGACGTCCGGCTCTTCGCTGACGCCTCCCCCTCCCCCAGCCCTCCCGGACTTGGGGGGATTTGTCAGCGGGAAGCCGACCCCCCAGCCCAACCCGGGCGCAGCCTGGAGCTGTTCCTCCTGGCACCGCGCGCGGCGGGCCTGGGGAGGGCCGGGGTCTGCGTCCCCCGCGCTGCCCCGGCTCGGTCTGCCCCTCGGTGGCCACTCCCTGCCGTCCCGGTGGCGTCCGTCCCGTGGAGGCGGCGGGAGGCTGGGGAGGGACGCGGAGAGTGGAGGACTCCGCTAGGAAGACGGGCTCCTCGGCCCCTGGGTGGCCTCCATAGTTCAGCCCAGGCAGTGCCCTCACGGGTGGGAGTCCACCTGTGGTTGCCCGCGTCACCCTGAAGCTGTGCGGCTGTGTCCCAGCCCCTGGAGCGAAGCCGGGGGTCGTGCGCACCAGGCCCGGGCGCAGTGGGCGCAGTGGGCGCCAGGGGGGACCCTCCCGGCCCCTGCAGGGTGGTGGGCACCCACTGGGGCTCCGGAGAGACCCCGGGGCGGGGGCACCCCTTAGCGTTTTCCCCTCTCCCTCCACAAGCCCCACGGCCTTTCTCTCTTTTCCCCTCCTCCAACACCTGGTGGAGCCTGAGGTCGGCCCGGCCCTGCCGTGAATGAGAAGCAGCCCAGGCCGCCTCTCCGCTCACATGGCCCCCTGTTTGTTTAGAGTTGGGACAAAGGTCTCTCTCCGCTGTTCACTGGACTCTACGTGGGGTCCTGCGGGTTTCCCATTCGCTGGACGGGACGTCAAAGCAAACAGCTTTTGCCGGCCGGCCGGTGTGGCTCAGTGGTTGAGCATCCACCTAGGAACCAGGAGGTCACCGTTCGATTCCAGGTCAGGGCGCATGCCCCCATCCCCAGTGGGGGGCGTGCAGGAGGCTGCTGGTCAATGCTTCTCTCTCATCATTGATCTCTCTCTCTCTCTCTCTCTCTCACTTCCTCTCTGAAATATATATGAAGCAAACAGCTTTGAAGTGGTCACAGGGCTGGGCCCTGGGCTAAGGGCTTTATGGGCATTGTCTCCCGTGTGTGCCTGCAAGTGCCAGCCGCACTGCCTCTCATCGCTGGGCCAGTACTTGTCGCTCCAGGGTTGACGTGTGTGTGGAGGTAAACAGTCACCCCGCACCTGGGTCCCGTTGGGTGGCACTTTGAGAAGTTTGTGTTTACTTTGTAACCTTCTTCTGCTCCAGCTCCCTTAGCTCCCGGGGCAGAAGGGCTCCGGCAGCTTGTGGTCCTGCGATCATTGTAACAAAACCTGAAAATGTGGTGATTGGGTGATATTAAGAACGCTCTTTTTTTATTTTTTTATTTTTTTTTAAAATATATTTTATTGATTTTTCACAGAGAGGAAGGGAGAGAGATAGAGAGAGTTAGAAACATCGATGAGAGAGAAACATCGATCAGCCGCCTCTTGCACATCCCCCACTGGGGATGTGCCCGCAACCCAGGTACATGCCCTTGACCGGAATCGAACCCGGGACCTCTCAGTCCGCAGGCTGACGCTCTATCCACTGAGCCAAACCGGTTTCGGCAAGAACGCTCTTTTTTTAAAATATATTTTTATTGATTTCAGAGAGGAAGGAAGAGGGAGAGAGATTGATAGAAACATCAGTGATGAGAGAGAATCATTGATTGTCTGCTTCCTGCATGTCCCCTGCAGGGGATTGAACCTGCAACCTGGGCATGTGCCCCTGACCAGAACCGAACCTGGGACCCTTCAGTCCACAAGCTGACGCTCTATCCACTGAGCTAAACCGGCTGGGGCAGGAACGCTCTTCTTGTGAGAGCCAGTAACGCGCGCACGCCTCCTGCCTCATTCGGCTGGTATTTCTGGAAGAAATAGAGTGAAGTGTGCCCGGGGCCAGCTCAGGTGGGCAGCGGGCTAGCCTTGGTGGTTGACTTTCTTTGGCAAGTTTGAGAACAGCTGTTGGACTCGGCCCTCTGTCCCACGGGCCACAACCAGATTCTGGGGGGGGGGGGGGCACATGGGCTGAACTTGGCGTTGGGGGCGCGAGTCCCCTGCTGCCCACCTGGCTCAGCGGGAATTCTTGGATCTCCTCCTCCAGGCTCTTGGCTAGGAATGAGCCGAGGAGGCATGGATAAGTGCTAGGCATTTGCATACACTTGTCAAACAAATATCAGATCACTGGATATTGCGAAGGTCGCGGCCAGGCACGGCTCCTGTGACCACGGGGCCTACTTGCTGGGTTGGCCCCTGCCCAGAACGGTCAGCGTTTCAGCTCCTGAGCCAGCTTCCCTTTTGATCTTGGGTCCACTGAGGTCCCCCCCCCCCCCCCCATCAGCCCCGCCTGGAGGGGCCATTGTGTGTGTGACGGGCAGGACAGGCTACAGCTGAGCTGAAAGGCCCGGAGACTGAGGGCCTGCACAGCTGTGTGCTCAGTGGCACGTCACCCGGAGGGGCTGGCGGGACCGGCTCTGTCCCAGGCCCAGGCTGGCGGTATTTGTGGGCTGACCCCCCGGGGGCCCTTCTTATCAAGGGATCCTGTTTGGCAAGAGGAAACGGACCGAGAGGCATGACTGGGGCTCAAGGAAGAAGGGGAACCACAGTGCTTCCTCCCGTGGGGCCTCTGCTCCCCTAAAGCTCAGCATGCAGCAGCCCTGGGGAGGGCTGTCCCCCGGCACCACCCAGCCCAGCCAGCGCCACCCCCCTCCCCCCTGCCACTCCTCAGGGACAGTGTTGCCTCTGTGAGCATTTTATGAGGCTGTTCTTGTCTTACCATTTCACTCTCAAGCCTTCCTTGTCTGTCTGCCCTGTCCCTGGCAGCAGCCACCCGTGGGCCCAGATGAGCCCCACAGCCCAGGGCAGACCACTGGCCCCAGCAGGGCCTCCAGCCACAGGAGTGGAGGGGGAGGCTGGAGCCCCCGTGGTGCTGGGGGAGGCGGGGGTCGGGGGGTGGGGAGCGGGGTGGCCCAGAGGAACGCAGGCCTAGAACCAGTTCTGGGAGAGGCCAGGGCAGGAGGGCGCCCATTGGGAGGACAGAGGGTCCATGCGAGCGTTTTGAGATCAGAGACCCTGGGGCAGGCGCATGGGGGGGAGTGTCCGCGGGGCCCAGGCCAGAGCTGGGCCGGGAGAGGCCGCTTCTCATGCCGGGTGTCTGTGTCCCTCCAGGAAAGCCCGCACAGGCTGGTGCCCGTGGCCCTGCGGCAGGAGACCCTGTAGGAAATGAGTGGCCGCCCCAGGCCGCTGGGGTTTGCCAGAGCCAGCTGCCCCTGAGGGCCTCTCCGAGGGGCTCAGCCCCAGGCCGTGCCTCCCCTGGTGTCCGGTGAGTGTGGGGCCAGGAGCAGGGCAGGCGCTGGCCTCCCAGCATCTGGCTGGGTGTGTGGTTGGGCTGGTGCCACTGGGCGGGGGTGTGAAGGAGGAGAGCCAAGACCATCTGTCTCCCAGAGCAGCTCTCATGCGTCTGCCCGTCCATGGTTCTGGCACCACACCCTCCCTCCGGCTCTTATTGGGGAGAAAGTGCCTCTGTATCCTGGGAAGCGCCCCCTGACCGCCCGCAACCCCCCGCCACCCACACACACCCTGCCTGCACTTCTGTGTGGGATTGTCCCCAGCCCAGCAGTCCCAGGGGTCAGAACTGGGAATCACCCCCACCCAGCACACAAGCCACCAGCATTGGGTGTTTGGGGTCCCTGCCGCAGGTGGAGAGAGCAGCCTGAGCAGAGGCCCTGGGGAATCTGGTTTAACCAGCTTTGGGGAGGGGAGGGGAGGGGGAGCTGGAGGAAGCAATGCTGAGCATGTCCCCTGCTCCTCGGCCACAGTCCCTGGAAAGGAGGCCGGAACGCGGGCTCTAGCTCTGGGCCTCCGGGGTCAGGGACGAACACTGGAGCTTTTCATGAGCTTCGCTGCCGGGGTTACTAGGGAGGGAGCGGCCAGCCGCCCGCCCGGAGCTGTCCATGTTTGCTTTGGACATGTCAGGCCTTTCCCTTAGACCCAAGGTCCTCAGGGGGGCAGGGGTCAGAGGGTGGAGCTGGGAGGGCTCAGTGGGGGCCTCGGGGTTCCCTGTGGAAGTCCTGAGACTCTCCCCATATCCTCTCCCTGGACCACCCCTCTCCTCTCTTCTCCGGTCCCACATCTGCCTCTGTCCGTCCCTTCCCAGGCCTTTCATCTCTCACTGAGCTAACAAGCTTGCCCGCCTGCTGGGTGTCTGCCTGCTGGGGCGGGAGCCTGTGAGTCAGGAGTCTGGGCCTGAGACCCGCGTCTGCCAGGACCGGCTCCTTGGTCTTGGGGCAGGTGGTGAAGCCCCTGAGCCTCAGTTTCCAAGTGTGGGGAATGGGCCCGTCTCTGACATCCATGAACAGTGGGAGCAGGGGCTCCCTCCCCCGTGGCTCCCACGGTCAGCAGCTGTTGCGTACTTAGGGGGCCCCCCACTTCCTTATTTGCCCCCCCTCCACCCTCTCCCCGGCCTGCACTGGTGCTCCCAGGGGTTCCCCCGGGAAGGAATGGCCTTGCCAGCAGGAGTCCTGGAGGCTGGAGGCCCGTTCCCCCCCCCCCCTAAGCAGGCAGACACGCAGTGCCTGTCCTTCCCTATTGTCCTGTGCCCCCCACTCGGGAGGGTACCAGCTGTGTCTTGCAGGAGCCATCCCCCCTCCATCGGACCCTTGGGACTGTTGGCACAATGGAGCTATTTTCTGTAAACTCTGCCCAGCACGCGGGGTCTGGTGTCTCCTCGCCCCGGCCCCTTGCTGCTGGCTCCCCGTGCCCCCCCCCCTGCCCCCAGCCAGGAGACACCGCCGTTGGCTCTGCCAGCGCTGGCCGGGAAAACGATGCGAGAGTCTGACCTCTGACCGCCTGCCTGGTCCCGTTCTTCAGGGGTGACGGGCACCATGACCGACTCCCCGTTCCTGGACCTGTGGCAGTCCAAGGCGGCGTCCACCCGGGACCGGCTGGGCATCAGGGAACACCCCAACGACTCCTACTGCTACAACTCGGCCAAAAACAGCACCGTGCTCCAGGGCGTCCCCTTCGGCGGCATCCCCGTCGTCCTGCTCATCGACGTCAGCTGCTTCCTGGTAAGACCTTTGTGAATCCTGCTTCCCCTGTCACTTGTTTGTTTAAACCCTACCCAGGGCCTTCCGGGGACCTCAGGGGAGGAGCCAGACCAGGCTTTCTATCCCAGCAGCGTTGCCACTTACGGGCCCTGTGGCTTTGGGTACATTACCTCGCTTGTCTGGGCCTCAGGCTTCTGCTCTGTAAAATGGGACTAATCATTTTTTTTTTAAAAATATTTTTTTTATTGATTTCAGAGGGAGAGGGAGAGAGAGATAGAAACATCAATGGGGATTGAGAGAATTATTGATCGGCTGTGAAATCAATAAAAATAGATTTTTTTAAAAAAGAGAAAAATTCTATGTAAAGTGAAGAAGAAAAGTTAAGCGGCTCCCCAGGGCTGCTGTGGGGCCAGACCTCCCTGCTCAGGAGCCGCCAAGCCCACTCAGTCCTCGGGAGGTCATGGCTGCTGATGCTGCCTTCATAGCCAAGGACAGGCCCACGTGCTTGGCTAGGAGGGTGCTCGGGCAAGCTGAGCGTCAGCGCTGACAGCCTTCGTGACTTGGGAACAAGTGGCAAGACCTGGGGTGGGGTATGTGTGTGTGTGTGTGAGCGAGCACAGCATCACAGCCTTGAGCTGTGCGGCCCTGGGCGGCTCAGTGCCCTCTCTGGGCTTGGGTCACCTTCGCGCCCCGCTGACGCGAGGCAGGCGGGCTTGGTCCCTAAGACAGCTGTCTCTTCTCATGACAAGCCATCCAATGTGCTTTCACTTGCTTTCTTTTTCTTTCTACTTTTAGTTTTTAATATTGGTGTTTTCCATCATAAGGAGAAGATTCTGGGATTACGGACGCATTGCCCTGGTGTCAGAAGTGGGCAGGTAAAAGAGTCATGTTACTTAGAATGTGTGTGTGTGTGTGTGTGACAGAGAGAGAGAGAGAGAGAGAGAGAGAGAGAGAGACAGACAGACAGACAGACATTGGGATGGGATGGGGGCATGGGAAGCCCAGCAGGCAGGACCCACCCACGATGCTGGAATCACATCACGTTCACCGGGTACACCCGCCAGGCCGCTACCAGACGCCGTCTGTCTGGTCCGCGGCACAGACCCGTGAGGTCAGCCTCGTGAGAAAGCCGAGGCCCACACGCCTGGGTTTCCTCCGGGCTCCCGCCCGGCTGTGGCCACGGGCCTTGCTGGCTTTGGGCTGCGGAGGAAACGGTGTTCCTTCAGATAATTAGGGCTTCAAAATCAGCAGGAGGAGGACGCCGGCTTTCTGTCTCTCCTTGGCTATTTTCAAGTGCATCTTCCGCAACGCGTTCCCTGAGGGCTGGGGCTGGCTGCGCAGGGCGGTAGGGCCGTGGCTGAACGAACGTCCCTGACCTCCCCCTGGCTTCGCGCTGGCCGATGGCCCTAACTCAGCCGCCCTGGGTGAGCCTGCTCCGCACCACAGACTCAGGCCTTCCGCTTCCATCCGGGCTTGGGAGGCTCTCAGCTCACATCCCCCAGAGGGGGACCTGAAGTCTCCATCTGCACCACTGGCTGCCACCCACCCCAGTCCTCGTGTCAGTGGGAAGTGAATGGGGAGCACACACTGGCCCAGGCTGCCCCCCCCAGCTCCTGCCCTGCCATCACCGGGCAGACCCTCCACGCTCGCTCCGCAGGCTGCCCCGTGTGGCAATGTGGGAGGGGCGAGGGGTGTGTGTGTAAATGCATTTCCTTCTCCACGGTCTCTGGCATTTGCAAAAGCCTCAGGGTGTTCGTGTTGGGGTGAGGAGGGGGGGGGCCTGGTTTCAGCTGTGTCGGAGCCTGAGACTCTTGGGGAGCCTTTTGGGATATCTGATGCTTTGGGGGACATTCACCCCAAGGAGGGCCTGAATGCCACAGGACAATGGAGCACTTGGAAATCAGGGGGCCTGGCCAGCCCCCTGGCTGTGTGATCTTGGTCAAGTCCCTAAACTTTTTTTGGAGGGGTTTCCTCCTGCGCTCTCTTCCCTGCAGGCTTACCGTGAAGGCCCAATGAGAGAGTTCAAAGTGAAGTTCCACTGTGTCTTAGGCCAGTGGTCGGGAAACTGCGGCTCGGCAAACCGCGGCTCGCGAGCCACATGTGGCTCTTTGGCCCCTTGAGTGTGGGTCTTCCACAAAATACTGGCTCTTCCACAAAATACCGACTTCTGCGCATGGGCCACGAAGTTTCAATCGCACTGTACTTGCGCGCCCGCACGTGGTATTTTGTGGAAGAGCCACACTCAAGGGGCCAAAGAGCCACATGTGGCTTGCGAGCCGCGGTAGGCCATTAGGAGTGGGAGGGCGGAGCGAGGAGTAGGGAAACAGAAGCAAAAATCCAAACAGCTCACAGCACACGGGTGTTCTTGCGGGTTACTCAGAAGAAGGGATCTGATTAAAATGCCACGATATAATATGCTGGAGTTCAGCCCTGGCCGGTTTGGCTCAGTGGATAGAGTGTCGGCCTGTGGACTGAAGGGTCCCGGGTTCGATTCTGCTCAAGGGCACATGCCCTGGTTGCAGGCTCGATCCCCAGCAGGGGGCATGTAGGAGGCAGCTGATCCATGATTCTCATCGTTGATGTTTCCATCTCTCTCTCTCTCTCTCTCCTTTCCTCTCGGAAATCAATAAAAATATATTAAAATGCCAGAGTTCAGCAACTTTAAAATGCACATTTTGGCCTTTTCTTGTCTCTGCAATCGGAAGGCAGCTGGTTATCATTGCTAGTTACAGTTTAATCGGTGGCATTTTTTCATTCTTCGTGGTTCATAATGATGCCCCTGACACCAGTGGTGTCTTAGAGTTGATGATAAAATACAGTGTTGATGCCAAGTGTTGTCTGCTCTGTGGGAAACACCTTGCAAACAGGCCCCGTTTGGAAGTCACTTTCGGTAAACCAGTCCTCGTGCTGAGGCCGAGGGTGTCCTGACCCCGCGTTACAGCCACGCACCGCAGTTTTCTGTCTGACACAGCTCGGAGTGGCTCTCGCCGTGTCCGTTTCTCACAGGGCGAGTTACGCTTCGCCCCAGCCGTTGAGGGCTAGTAGCTTTGGTCCTGAGCTCCATGAGGCAGCAAGATACTGGGGATGCGTTTTTAGATTTTTTAAAAAATATATTTTATTGATTTTTTTACAGAGAGGAAGGGAGAGAGAGAGAGAGAGAGAGAGTTAGAAACATCGATCAGCTGCCTCCTGCACATCTCTTACTGGGGATGTGCCCGCAACCCAGGTACATGCCCTTGACCAGAATCGAACCTGGGACCTTGCAGTCCGCAGGCCGAAGCTCTATCCACTGAGCCAAACCGGTTTCGGCCGTTTTTAGATTTTTAAAAAGAAGTATTTGAATTTTTTTCCGTTTGTGTTTCCAGCGAGTCCAGATTCCAGCGGTCGTCATCGTCTTCCTCGCAGGGGCCACAGGATTTTGAAAGTGACCTGGTTGGTATCTCGGGGGCAGCGGTGGCTGTGGCCGGCAGGGGAGGCCAGAGGCGATGAACCAGCGGGGAGAGGGCGGCGGTGCTCCTGTCCCGGTGGCAGGTGGGGGTCAGAGCTCTTCTCTGCACTGACGGTCACCTGGACTTGGAACAGACCACGGGGGAGGTGCAGCTGGGTGACCCGGGATCGTGAGGTTTGGTTGCCGCTCAGGCAGAGGGCTACGGAATCCCCATGGGGTCCTAGCACGCGTCTCTGTTATCATACTTGCGGCTTTGTGTGACAGTCAATGATCATGATTCTTTCTTTTTTAAAAAATTTTTTTATTTTTATTGATTTTTTACAGAGAGGAAGGGAGAGGGATAGAGAGTTAGAAACATCGATCAGCTGCCTCCTGCACACTCCCTACTGGGAATGTGCCCGCAACCAAGGTACATGCCCTTGACCGGAATCGAACCTGGGACCCTTCAGTCCGCAGGCTGATGCTTTATCCACTGAGCCAAACTGGTTAGGGCTATTATTTCTTTTTTAAGAAATGTGTTTTTATTAATTTTTAGAGAGAGAGAGAGAGAGAGAGAGAGAGAGAGAGAAAGAGAAACATTGATGTGAGATCAGCTGCCTCTCATATGCACCCGACCGGGGATTGAGCCCGCAACCCAGGCAGGTGCCCTGACTGGGAATCGAACCTGCAACCTACCAGTGCATGGGATGACGCTCATCCAACTGAGCCACGTCGGCCAGGGCCAGTTAATTGTTGACTTGCCTGCTAGTCTCTGGGCCAAATGTGAGCAGCAGCCGTGTCTTACCCGGCGCTGTGCCCCGTCACCTTTTTATTGATTACCAGTAGGAGCTGTTTAGTAATTGTCAAGTAAATGAGGAACAAATATTTGTCTTCAAACAAAGACAGGTCACGCTGGGCAGCCGTCCGCTTCAGGGAGTGTCAGTGGACGATCCAAGCTGCAGACACCTGTTCCTTCTCTAGATCCCACTCCAAGCTCTTGTCCCACTTCTCACTCGGCCGTTTGGAAACAAACAGAAACCCACAGCAGTTTCTCCAGAGCGGGCCTGGGGTTTCACCAGCTGTTCATTCAAGTTTCATGATTTGACCCCGGAACATGTGTAATCCCACAGATTGGCAAATTTGAGAGGGTTTTGCAAGAATTCCAAGCTTGCATCCTAGCTGGCTTGGCTCAGCGAATAGAGCATCGGCCTGTGAACTGGAAGGTTCTGGGTTCGATTCCAGTCAGGGGGTACGTGCCCGGGTTGCGGGCTCGATCCCCAGTGTGGGGCGTGCAGGAGGCAGCCGATCAATGACTCTCTCTCATCACTGATGTTTCTATCTCTCTTTCTCCCTCTCCCTTCCTCTCTGAAATCATTTGTAAAAAAGAAAGAATGAATTCCAAGCCTGTAGTGCATATTGGGAACAATTGGGAGCATACAGACTCTGTCGTGTTTGGGACAAGGGGTAGCTTGCTGAATTTGGGGCAAAAGTGCTGTTTTTATACAGAAGAAGGTTAGCTTGTCATTAATCTCAAAGACAATGGTTATATCTGCTCCCAAAGACAGACACGCTCGAAGCTAATTCCCGATCTCTGTTTCCAGGGATGCTGCCCCTGGCTCACTGCGATCTTCCGTCTGAAGTGAGTACGGCGTGTGCGTGCGTGTGCGTGTGCGTGTGTGTGTGTTTGAGTGTTTGTCCAATCGGGTGGTAAGGGCCCAGAGGCCTGCCCTTGAGATAGGGCCTCTTAAGTACTTCCTTCAGTTCAGGTTCAAAGCCGTATGTGGGGGCTGAGGACAAAGGAGTCCCAGGCAGTTCCTGCACCAGCCAGTTAAAGCTCCCGCTGTGCTTCAGGTGGGAATCCTATCTCCTCAGTATTTAACGTGGATCTAGTTGAGTGGAAGCTCCTCTAGACAGTGCTACGTGTCTTTAAACTGGTGAAAAGTGGAGAACTAGTGATCGCTCGATACAGTCAGCTCATTGGGTTAAAAGTGTTCATTTTTTTTCAAAACTTGGAGCCTGTGGTGAGAAATCCTAAAAGAGGCGCTGGGTAGTCTGGGCTGGCCAGTCACCTCCAGGGCGGTGGACGAGCCGGGCTGTGAGTCTGGGTGCCACGGTGGCCATCAGGTTGTTGTAAGATGCACATTATCCGAGACAGCACTAAGAATGAGAAAACGCTGCCCAGTAAGCCGTGATCAGCTGTGCTCATTGAAATAGGAGAAGGATAGCGTAGAATTGATGGGATATGGTAGTTTCAGGACAGTGGGTAAGTCCCTTTCTCTGGGCCTCAGTTTCCCCAACTATAAGAAAGGTGCCGAGGCCGACACCTGCTCTGGCTAATTCAAATGAATTAATATGTGGTGTATAAATGGTGGAGTTTGAGGGATAGAAACGTCAATGATGAGAGAGAATCATTGATCGGTTGCCTCCTGCACGCCCCCTACGGAGGATGGAGCCCGCAACTCAGGCATGGGCCCCTGACCGGAACGGAACCTGGGACCCTTCCGTCCGCAGGCGACGCTCTATCCGCTGAGCCAAACCAGCCAGGGCTATGCCGCTTTTCCATGCCTCTGTTTCCTGCTGTGCTAAGAAATGGAGATGAAATTAGAAGCTCCCTCGAGGGGTGGCCAGGAGGGGTTATAGGAGACCCTCCGTGCAGGGCCTCCGAGGGCCGGCCTGGGGCTGCTGCTCACCGGAATCCCATGCCTGTGTCTTGACCAGCGACGACCAGATCCTGGAGTGGTGCGGGGAGGACGCCATCCACTACCTGTCTTTCCAGAGACACATCATCTTCCTGCTGGCGGTGGTCAGCTTCTTGTCCCTGTGCGTCATCCTGCCTGTCAACCTCTCGGGCAACTTGCTGGGTAACTATTCTCTCTCTTTTTTTCAAATATATTTTTATTGATGTCAGAGAGGAAGGGAGAGGGAGAGAGAGAGTGAGAGGGACATCAATGAGAGAGAATCATGGATTGGCTGCCTCCTGCACTCACCCCACTGGGGATCAAGCCTGCAACCAGGGCATGTGCCCTGACCGGGGATTGAACCAACCATGACCTCCTGGTTCCTAGGTCGACGCTTGACCCCTGAGCCACGCAGAGCAGCAGGCCTCGGGAAAGGGTCTCACTGTGGGGGAGTCATGCTCATGCTCAGATGTGAGAATGTCCCAGGGTGGCTTTCTGGACTTTTCCATCCGATTAAAAATCCAGAGAAGAATCCACCCTAAGCCTAATATCCAATTCTGGTTCTAAGTAGGAGGAGGAGGAAAAAAACCCCAAGATTTACAGAATCAGGGCCTCCCACGGATGTTTGACATCTCCCAGCCCCACTCAGAGTCAGAATCCGAGCCCGGAATTCTATCTCCAAGCGTCCGCCGGAAGCTCGCTCCCCAAATGCCACCAGGACCCCACTCCTTACACCCCGGGATTCCCAGCCCTGCTTCTGGGAACGGCTAAGGGTCGGTCCCGATTTCCTAAGAAATGCCACCAAAATCTCAAAGCCAGGCGAAGGCAGGTTGTGACTCAACCCCCGAGACGGGGTGAGAAGTTGCCGGGGGCATCTGGGGCTAAAGCAGGGCCTTGTTGGGGTGACTCTGGGAAGACTGGACGGTGTCTGTACCCCGGCCCCTCCGAGCCGCACTCACTCACTGAGGCTGGCGGTGCCCCTCCCGCCCCCGGGGCGGCCCTGGCGCTAAGTCCCTGTGCTTCTCCGCAGAGAAGGACCCGTACAGCTTCGGGAGGACGACGATAGCAAACCTCCAGACCAAGTGAGTGTGGGGGACGGGTCTGAGGGTGCCGATGGGCGAGGCCAAGGAGAGGGCGGATTCTGGAGCCCAGAGTCAGCGAGAGGTGGCCCCACGTGGGCGGACTGAGGCCCTGAAGCCCCTTTGCAGCCAGCGTGTGTCTGGGCTCTGGGCATGGACACCCCGTTAGCAACTGCTGTTTTGAGGGGCTGTAGGAAACCAGGAGGGCTCATTTGCCAGGAAGGGGCTCTCTCTAAGGGGGGCTGGCCGCCCAGCCTCTTGTGATGAAGTCGCTGTCCCTCAGCTCAGGGCCATAAGGTAGCCCAGCCCAGCCCTTGTGCCCCCGCCTGGGCTGGGGTCCCCCCGCTGATCGCAGGCGGTGTCCCCCGCAGCAACGACCTGCTCTGGCTGCACACCGTCTTCGCCGTCATCTACCTGTTCCTCACCCTGGGCTTCATGCGGCACCACACCCAGTCCATCAAGTACAAAGACGAGAGCCTGGTGAGTGAGGCTGGGGGTGGGGGTGGGGCAGGGGCTAGGGAGGAGGGGGGCGGAGAGAAATGGCCACCCCTGCTCGATCCCTGGCATGGCAGCAGGGAGCGTCCGAAGGGTCCTCTGGAACCCGCTTGCAGGTTTGAACTCAAAGTTGGCATTGTCCTTTTTTTTAATCATCACCTGAGGATATGTTTATTGATTTATTATTGTTGTTGTTAATCTTCACCCGATTTTCCATTGATTTTTAGAGAGAGTGGAAGGGGGGCGGGAGAGACAGAGAGAAACATCAATGTGAGAGAGACAAATCGGTTGGTTGCCTCCTGCACGTGTCCCGTCCAGGGCTGGGGATCGAGCCTGCAACCTGGGCATGCGCCCTTGACTGGAACTGAACCTGGGATCCATCAGTCCCCAGGCAGATGCTCTATCTACTGAGCCAATTCGGCTAGGGCGTTTATTGATTTTTTTTTTTTTAGAGAGAGGAAGAGAGAAAGAGAGAGAGAGAGGAAGAAAGAAAGGAAGGAAGGAAGGAAGGAAGGAAGGAAGGAAGGAAGGAAGGAAGGAAGGAAGGAAGGAAGGGAAAGAAAGAGAGAGAGAGAAAGAAAGAAAAACAGAAACTTGAATGTGAGAGAGAAACACCGATCGGTTGCCTCTCATACAACTAACCTTCGACCTGGGATCAAACCCACAGCCGAGGCATGTGCCCTGACTTGGAATCGAACCCACTGCCTTTTGGTGCCCAGGACGATGGATGCTCCAACCAACCGAGCCCCACCAGCCAGGGCCTGGTATTCCCTTTAACAACTTGTTTTCTGAACAGATTGTTTCAGGGTGTAGGGTTTAAGGGCCAACTAGCCCTTAGATTTGTGGGCTGTGAGCTCGTAGTTACGATTCTGAATACGATTCCTTTTCCATGACTTAGTTGCAGGCCCGGCCTCCTGTGATCTGCCGTGAGGCCCTATTGAGTCCCGCCCCCTCTCCGGGTCCTTTCTCAGTCCCCGGTCGTGCCAAGGAGCGCGTGGCGTTGCTTGGGAAATGCTCTGTGTAGCCGGGAGGAAGGCGCTCTTTCCAGGCCCTGCCAGGCCAGGAGGCGCGCCCAGGGCCCCTGCCCGGCTCGTCCTGGTGACTTCTCCGCGCGTTTCTCCGGCAGGTGAGGCGGACCCTGTTCATCACAGGACTCCCCAGACACGCCACGAAGGACGCGGTGGAGAGCCACTTCCGGTGAGCAGGCCGGGCCGAGGGGCAGCGAGCCCTTCCCGGTGGGACCCCACAGTCCCAGGGGCAGGCGCCGGGGGTGGGTGCCTTATGTCTTCCCCGGGGTCCCTGGGGGAGCCGAGACCTGCCACACGGGCATCGAAGGCTGCCTTGCGCTGGCTGTGCTGGTGCTGAAAGAGGAAGACAAAGGCCTCTCTGGCCCGGGAATGGGCAGCGAGATTGCTCTGGGGCCCTTGGAGATGGGGGGTCCCGCCTGCCTGGGGGCTCCTTTTCCAATCCATCCTTTCCTCCGGCCCGCCCTGGGCGCAGGGACGCGTATCCCACGTGCGAGGTGGTGGAGGTCCAGCTGTGCTACAACGTGGCCAAGCTGATCTACCTGTGCAAGGAGAGGTACGGGGTGCGCGCACGCGTGTGTGTGGGAAGCGTGCATGCGTGGGGGGAAGCGTGCATGCATGAGGAAAGCGTGCATGCATGGGGGAGAAGCGTGCATGCACGCACAGGGAAGCGTGTGTGTGTGTGTGTGTGTGTGTGGGAAGCGTGCGTGTGTGGGGGGAAGCGTGCATGCATGGGGGGAAGCGTGCATGCGTGGGGGGAAGCGTGCATGCATGGGGGAAGCGTACATGCATGGGGGAGAAGCGTGCATGCATGCACAGGGAAGCGTGCGTGTGTGTGTGGGAAGCGTGCGTGTGTGTGTGGGAAGCGTGTGTGTGTGTGGGGAAGCGTGCATGCGTGTGGGGGAAGCGTGCATGCATGTGGGGGAAGCGTGCGTGCATGGGGGGAAGCGTGCATGTATGCACGGGGAAACGTGCATGCGTGTGGGGAAGCGTGCATGCATGCACGGGGAAGTGGGCTTGTGTGTGCGGGTGAGCAGGCGTGTGTGTGGGGGAAGCATGCGCGTGTGGGGGGAAGCATGCGTGTGTGGGGGGAAACGTGCATGCGTGTGGGGAAGCGTGCATGCATGTGGGGGAGAAGCGTGCATGCATGCACGGGGAAGTGGGCGTGTGTGTGCGGGTGAGCAGGCGTGCACAGGCAAGTGTGCATGCACGGGGAAGCAGCCGTGCGCGGGTGAGCGGGCCTGCGCCCTCTGACCCTCCCCCCCCGAGAAGCCCCCCTCCTTCCTTGATGGCCTCCAGCTTGTTCAGAGCGCTGGGCCCCCGTTCTGGGTGACGGAGAGTTGAATGGAGGGTGCGGGGCCCGTGCCGCGGATTGTGAGTCTGCAGTCCCTCTCCCCCAACCTCCACCTGCAGGAAGAAGACGGAGAAGAGCCTGACCTACTACACCAACCTGCAGGTGAAGACGGGCCAGCGGGCCCTCATCAACCCCAAGCCCTGCGGCCAGTTCTGCTGCTTCGAAGTGCAGGGCTGTGAGCGGGTGAGGCCCCCTCCTCCCCCCGGGCCGGGCGCGGGCGCTGGGGTCCCCGCCACCCGCACGGGCCACGGCATCACAGGGACGTGCCCCTGGCAGGAGGACGCCATCGCTTACTACACGGGCCTGAAGGACCGGCTGATGGAGAGGATCACGGAGGAGGAGTCCAGGGTCCAGTTCCAGCCCCTGGGCATGGCCTTCGTCACCTTCCAGGAGAAGTCCATGGCCATCTAGTGAGTGTCCCGGCCTCCCAGGCGGGCTCCCCGGGCCCTGTCCCGATGCCCCGCTGGCCCTCTTGGGGAGAGACGATACCGCCGAGTCACATGGCTGGGGTCTGCCGTGTCCCTCTGCCTCCTGGGTCTGGCTGGGGAGGAGTCACCACGCTTACCCCTCGGGGAGCCCAGCCCGTGTGTGTGGGACCGCGGGGCTCCGTGACTCTAGCTGAGACCCTCTCCGGTGGCTGTGGCCTTGCCCGGCGGTGGGGCTCGCACCAGCTGCCCCAGGGGCCCGGCGGCTCCGTGTCCCAGCATTCTGATGGACGCCACCCTCCTTCAGGGAGCCGCTCTGCACCCCAGATCCTGCTTCTGTGCAGGGGCACCCCGTCTTCCTACAAATGGGCACTCGGGGCGCTCACTGCTGCCGGCAGCCCGGCCCTGGGGAGGGGGTTTGCACGAAGCTCTTCCACCCGCCAGCGGTCAGGCTCATAAAGCGCACTCGTGCCTGGGGCCTCGGCATCCCCGAGCCACGGGAGCCGAGGGAGGGGGAGGGGCGGGGCCAAGAGATGGGCGCTTTATGGGAGACAAAGGGGGAAAGAGGAGGAGCTGTTGAGGGTGGAGGTGGGGTCCGAGGGGGGAAATCTTGGATCAGAATGGGAGCCCGCCTCCTGTATGTGTTCTGATAGCAACTCTGGGGCCTGGGAAGTGAGCGAGAGTCTCGAAGGGTGAAGCCACTGGCAGGAGGATCCCGGCGGGGGGTCGGGGGGTTGCCGGGGGTTGGGGGTGCAGTGCAAGCAGCATGGGAACCGGAGCCCGACAGCTGGGGCGTAGAACCTGATCGGAGAGCCTCCGTTCCCTTCTCTGTAAAATCGGAATAACGATCCTCGGCTCGCAGGGTTGTGCTGAGGATTAAACGAAACCCTCCACATCGTGGGCCCCGCCTGCTGTCTCTCTCCTAGCGTTAGTTATCATAATAGACCCACAGTAATAAAGCCAGGGTCCTGCTCCACGGGGCTCCCGTTCTGACTCGGCCCCGTGTGCCGGGCCCTGGCACGCCTGCCTCCCCCGCAGCATCCTGAAGGACTTCAACGCCTGCAAGTGCCAGGGCCTGCGGTGCAGAGGGGAGCCCCAGCCGTCCTCCTGCAGCAGAGAGCTCGGCATCTCCCAGTGGACGGTCACCTTCGCCGCCTACCCCGAGGACATCTGCTGGTGAGCCCCCGGCCCGCGAGGGCCGCATCCCGGTGCTCAGGAGCCACACGTGTCTCGTGGCTACGGTGTCGGACAGTGCAGCCTGAGGTCGAGGGTCACCTGCTTCGCTAGCCTGGGGACACATTAAAAGTAAAAAACAACAAAAAAAAGTTGAAATTAATTTTCGTAATAGTATCTATCTCTCTCTAGATGCTAAAATATTATCAGTTCAACAGTTAGCGAAGAATCACTTGTAGCTCCTCTGAGCTCATAAGGCCCCCAAATTTGACCTTCCAGGGGCTGAAGGTCAGTGCAGAGAACCCGTCTGTACTCCCAGGTCGGCATGAGCCCTACGCCAGAGCCCCTCAGGCTAGTCCAGCGATGGCGAACCTATGACACGCCTGTCAGAGGTGACACGCGAACTCGTTTTTTTGGTTGATTTTTCTTCGTTCAATGGCATTTAAATATATAAAATAAATATCAAAAATATAAGTCTTTGTTTTACTATGGTTGCAAAGATCAAAAAATTTCTATAGGTGACACGGCACCAGAGTGAAGTTAGGGTTTTTCAAAATGCTGACACGCCGAGCTCAGAAGGTTCGCCATCACTGGGCTAGTCTCTTGGCTGGACTCACTGGGACTTTCTGACCCCCCCCCGCCCTGAGCCAGGGGCATGTTGGTGGGGTTGGTGGCCAGGCCCTGGGAGGTGAGCCGCCAGGGCCCGTGTCCTCTCTCCTCCGCAGGAAGAACCTCTCTGTCCAGGGCCCCCGCTGGTGGCTGCAGTGGCTGGGCATCAACTTCGTTCTCTTCGTGGTGCTGTTTTTTCTGACCACACCCTCCATCATCATCTCCACCATGGACAAGTTCAACGTCACCAAGCCCATCCACGCGCTGAATGTGAGTGGACACCTGCAAGGCCCATCCCTGGAGGGCTCGGTGCCAACAGGGCACGGTGGGGATGGGGAGCGGGGAAGGGGGGCGGCCAGGGGGTGTGGGGGACGGCGAACCAGGATGTCATTCACTCAGCTCATGTCTGGGCTATTTTTAAAATAAATAATTTTTTTTTATTAAAAATATACTTTATTGATTTTTTTACAGAGAAGAAGGGAGAGGGATAGAGAGTTAGAAACATTGATGAGAGAGAAACATCGATCAGCTGCCTCCTGCACACCCCCCATTGGGGCTGTGCCCGCAACCAAGGTACATGCCCTTGACCGGAATCGAACCTGGGACCCTTGAGTCCGCAGGCCGACGCTCTAGCCACTGAGCCAAACCGGTTCGGTCTAAAATAAATAATTTTTTGTATCGAGGAATAATTGATGTCTATTATCATGCCTACGTTTTTAGCCCTAAGCAGGCATGGCCACATTGAGTACAATGTCTTCTAGTAATTTAGACATTTTATGTACATATATTCATTATATATATAATATATAATATATATATTATATAGAACTATATTCCATACGTATTCATAATGAATGTATGTGCATATATAATTACATATATGGAATCAATCTACACATTCATCAGTAGGTGTTACTCGAGTTGAATGAAGTATATTTGGTCTGAGAGCGTGTTCAGCGCCCATTAAAAATTGCATAGCCCTGACCGGTTTGGCTCAGGGGATAGAGCGTTGGCCTGCAGACTGAAGGGTCCCAGGTTTGATTCCGGTCAAGGGCATGTACCTTGGTTGTGGGCACATCCCCAGTGGGGGGTGTGCAGGAGGCAGCTGGTCGATGTTTCTCTCTCATCGATGTTTCTAACTCTCTATCCCTCTCTCTTCCTCTCTGTAAAAAATCAATAAAGTATATTAAAAAAAAAACACAAGCACTTCTCAGTGGATAAAGTCCCAAATTAAAAAAAAAAATTGCATAGACTTGGTGTTGGGCACTGGGGGCTTGTGACGAGAGCAGGATATGAACTGTCTCCGAGCAGTGGCTACAGCGATGCGCCAGGGATGCGGGTGCACGCGGGTGCCACTGGGGGGGGGGGGGCGGGCAAGGAGGAGAAGAGCTGCTTGGGTCGGGTGGCAGCACCTGGATGGTTTCTTGTACATTTCAGGTTTTAATAATCTTGTCCTTGAATTATATGTGAAATTGCTGGCTTCGCTCTAAATACAAACAGAAGGGGTTGTTGTCTATTCAGCCAGCAGAGTGGACTAGCTCCCCTGTACCAGGGACAACGTTGGTTCTGGGGGGCGAGGAGGACTAAACCCCAGCCGTGGGCCTTGTTTTCCAGGACCCAATCATCAGCCAGTTCTTCCCCACCCTCCTCCTGTGGTCCTTCTCCGCCCTGCTGCCCACCATCGTCTACTACTCCACACTGCTGGAGTCTCACTGGACCAAGTGAGTGCCGGGCGGGCGCCGACCCCGTGCCCTAGGGCAGCGGGCACACGGCTCCCTGGGGACCCCTGGGACCCCGGGGCTGGGATGCTCACCTCTGACTTCCTGCAGGTCTGGGGAAAACCGGATCATGATGACCAAGGTCTACATATTCCTGATCTTCATGGTGCTGATTCTGCCCTCGCTCGGCCTCACCAGGTACGCGTGGCCGCCTCCTGCTCTCAATTCAGAACCTGGGTCGTAGCTGGAGAGTACTGTCCCCAGGAGAATGGAACCTTTAAAAAAAAAAATACACACACACACACACATGATTATGCTTGTTTCTCACTTTATATATTTAATGTGTTTTTTAAAATATATTTTATTGATTTTTTACAGAGAGGAAGGGAGAGAGATAGAGAGTTAGAAACATCGATGAGAGAGAAACATCGATCAGCTGCCTCCTGCACACTCCCTACTGGGGATGTGCCCGCAACCCAGGTACATGCCCTTGACTGGAATCGAACCTGGGACCTTTCAGTCCGCAAGCCGACGCTCTATCCACTGAGCCAAACCGGTTTCGGCTTAATGTGTTTTTTATTGATTTCAGAGAGGAAGGGAGAGGGAGAGAGAGAAAAACATCAATGAGGAGAGAGAATCATGGATCGGCTGCCTCCTGCACACCCCCTACTGGGGATTGAGCCCGCAACCCGGGCATGTGCCCTGACCGGGAATCGAACCATGGTCTCCTGGTTCATAGGCTGATGCTCAACCGCTGAGCCACACCAGCTGGGCCGGAAATGGTTTTGGAGTGGATGCATACCTACCCCTGACAACATTTAAGCCTGTCACACCCACCTGGAGGGCAGTTGTGCTGCCCATTGATTCTCCCAGAGATTGGATCTCTCTACGTTTGAAAACAAGTTTATCACGACGACAGCTGTCCACTTAGGGGGAGGGTCTGGTCCTGGCGTGGTTTCTCTCCGGAAGGACGGTTCTGTTACAGTAGGCCCTGGTGTGTCGCACGGCAGCAAGCGGCATTTTAAAGGATAAACGTGGATCTGGAGATGCGGCCTGTTTTTAGAAGAAGAGGAGAAAGGACGTCCGTGTTGTGGTCACGCGGCGCGTTGGGAGTCGGTTCTGACGGGATCCGTTTGTCTTTCAGCCTCGACGTTTTCTTCCGCTGGCTCTTTGACAAGTCTACCCCCGACACCTCTATCCGGTTAGAGTGAGTATCAGTCTTGCGCGCGGAGGTGATGGAGACACCGTCCCAAGTAAATGTCCCCCGGGGCTCGGGCTGCGCTGCGGGGAGGGTGGTCCCCGTTTCGGAACAGACCACTTCCTCCCGGAGACCCCAGGGCTGGGCCTTGCCCGCTCCCCGACCCGGTTCCTGCTGGGGAGGCAGCTGGACGGAGCCTTCGGCCACACCAGGGGAGCTGGCCCATTCTGTGCAAAGCATGTGGTTCATTTTTTTTAGGCCAGGACTTCAATTAGTCACAGCCTCATTCGGTCTCTGAAACTTATTTACCGAGACCTGAGCCGCTGGGGAGGAGGAGCTGCTGGGCCTCCGTGGTGCCAGGGGGCAGGAGTGGGAGTAATAATTAACGTTGCAGCCAGAGCGACTTGTCTGGACTGGCGGTTACCTTTGCCCAGAGAACAGAGTTCTCAACTCATGTCTGATGTGGGTCCTTGTTAGCATTTTCAGCTCGCACCACACCACTTAACAGAAATACTTATTACTTAACAAGGCGCTGCGCTAAAAGCTGGATTCTTGGTCTTGTTTCACCTTCACAGCCACTATCAGTAGGTCGTGTCATTATCCCCATTTTACAGATGAGGGGACTGAGGCCCAGAGATGTTGACTAACTTGCCCAAGGCTACCCAGCGAGTTAGGACATGGAGCTGGGACGTGACCTCAGCCCCGATGGCACTGGACTTTAGGTCCTGAAATAGGCTCATAGGCCCACGATGGATTTTCCCAAAGAGATATTTATAGGGAAGGCTGGCTGCGATTTCCTTTTTTATCTTTTATTTGTTTTCCGTCACCATGGAAGGGGTGAATTATTATTATTATTAGTTTTTTTTTGTGATCCTCACCCGAGGATATTTCCCCATTGATTTTTTTTCTTTTTTAGAAAGAGAGTGGAAGAGAGAGGGAAAGACAGAGAGAAACACCGATGTGAGAGAAGCACATTGATGGGTTGCCTCCTGCACATGCCCCGACCAGGGCCCGGGCCAGGGAGGATCCTGCAACCGAAGTACATGCCTTTGACCAGAATCAAACCCGGGACCCTTCGGTCTGTAGGCCGACGCTCTGTCCACTGAGCAACACCGGCTAGGGCTGGGGTGAATTATTTTGAACGGGTTCTTGCTGGGTACGCTGGTGACTCGGGAGCTGGCAGCCTCCGACAGACACACACACCCCCATCCGGCTCTCGTTCAGGCGGACAGCGGCTTCCGGTTGCCAAGGGCAGTGGTCGGCTCTCAGTCCTCACCTTAGTGACCTGTCAGCAGATGCTGGCTTCGCTGGCTTCGGCGCTCGCCTCTCCTGGTCCCCCCCACGCTGGGATGTGAGCTCCTTGGGGGCAGGGGCAGGGGCTTTGTTTCCCTCCCAGCGCCTGGCACAGCGCCTGGCACACGTGGGTGCTGCACACGCACCCACCAGGGGCCTCGGGTCCCGGCTCGCCTGACTCATCCCCCCACCTCCCCGCTGCCCGGGTCCCCAGGTGCGTCTTCCTGCCGGACCAGGGCGCCTTCTTTGTGAACTACGTCATCGCCTCGGCCTTCATCGGCACCGGCATGGAGCTGCTGCGGCTGCCGGGCCTCATCCTCTACACCTTCCGCATGGTCATGGCCAAGACCGCCGCCGACCGCAGGAACGTCAAGCAGGTGCGGGCTGGCGGGGCGGGTGCAGGGGCTCCCCCCGGAGCGTCCCCCTCGGGCACTTCCCCAGCCGCCCTGCTGCGCGCCGGGCACTCCGCCCAGTGCCTTTCACCGGGGCTCAGGCCGCCTGTGGGGGCGGAGGGGCCAGGCCCTGCTTGCCAGCGGCAGGTCTTCATAAACCTCCTCTCTGACTCATCGGCTGGAGGACAGAGTGTGGATTTTTACATTAAAAATTTTTTTTTAAAAAAAATTGATTTCAGCCGAAACTGGTTTGGCTCAGTGGATAGAGCGTCGGCCTGTGGACTCAAGGGTCCCAGGTTCGATTCCGGTCAAGGGCATGTACCTGGGTTGTGGGCACATCCCCAGTAGGAGATGTGCAGGAGGCAGCTGATCGATGTTTCTCTCTCATCAATGTTTCTAACTATCTCTCTCCCTTCCTCTCTGTAAAAAATCAATAAAATATATTTTTTAAAAAAATTGATTTCAGAGAGGAAGGGAGAGGGAGAGAAAGAGAGAAACATTGATGATGAGAGAATCATTGAGCGGCTGCCTCCTGCACGCCGCCGTCTGGGGGTCGAGCCCGCAACCTGGGCATGTGCCCTTGACTGGAGTTGAACCAGGGACCCTTCAGTCCGCATGCTGATGCTCTATCCACTGAGCACACCAGCTAGGGCTGGATTTCACATTTTAATCAGTCTCATCTCACACACACACACACACACACACACACACACACAAAACTAACATCAGCACGTCGCTCGTTGGGGGGCATCCATGTGCCTAAGCCAGGGGTCCTCAAACTACGGCCCAAGGGCCACATGCAAATACAAATATTGTATTTGTTTCCGTTTTGTTTTTTTACTTCAAAATAAGATATGTGCAGTGTGCATAGGAATTTGTTCATAGTTTTTTTTTTAAACTATAGTCCGGCCCTCCAACGGTCTGAGGGACAGTGAACTGGCCCCGTTTAAAAAGTTTGAGGACCCCTGGCCTAAGCCCTTAAGATGACCACAGTTGTCAATGAGTTTGGGGGCGTGTGGCATGGTCCCCTAAGTGGGTAACGGGTTCTCTTTCATTCTCCCTTTGCCGTGTGGGCACCCTGAGGAGGGAAGGCAGAGCCCTCTGAGACGGGCCCTGCTGGTACCGTACCTGGCAGATGCACAGACTAAGCCGCAGGCAGGTTGGGAGCCCAGGACACACCCCAGAATGGGCAGAGCTGATGTTGCGTCTGATGCCAGAGTCCCGTAAGGATCCACTTGCCCCCCGGGGGCTCGGGGGCCTGCTGGGGAGACACGATTAAGACAAACATGACACCTTGGAGGTCTGGGGGTGCGCGGCGTGAAGCTGGAGAAGGCTGGTGGAGGGAGGAAAAGGACTTCACCCCCGGCTGGTGTGGCTCAGTGGTTGAGCATTGACCT